CCCTCGGGCCTGCTGCCCGGGCCCGGCTCCCTCGGCCCGCCCGCTCCAGGCCTGAGTGCCCCTTGCTTGGGTGTCCTTTCCCCAGTCACCCCTCTGGCCCCCGGGAAGCAGCCTGGTCCCTGAGACCTCTCTTTTTCCACCTCGAGGTCCCGCTTTGTTCCAGGCTCTGGCCGAGGAGAGTTACCCTGGAGACAATCAGGGCAGGGACATGAAGCTTTGCCCAAAGCCCTCATGGGGCTGGGGGGGCTCTGGGTTGGCTCAGCCACTCCTGAGGAGCTTTGGTCCAAACGGGACATGGTTGGGCCGGTTAGTGGCTCAGCACAGAGCTGTGTGCATGGTGCTCCAGTGTTTCTTGCTTGGTCTTGCCCCTGGTCAGGAGCATCTGTCTCCTTCCCTGCTTCCTTGTGCTGCTCACGGATTTCTTTCTGTTTTTATAGGGAAGTTTTCAAAGCCAAACATCGTCAGACAGGCAAGAAAGTAGCACTGAAGAAAGTGTTGATGGAAAATGAGAAGGAGGGGGTAAGTGTGGGAGTGTGGCTGGACTGTGTTTGGGAAGGCCTGGACCGGGGGAGTTCATAGATGAAAACTAATTTTTGGGATGGCAGAGATGTGTTTTTACCCTGTTTTAACAATATTTACTGCTATAATGTGCCAGACCTTGAACCTATAAGGGTGTGCACAGGATCCCACCCCTGCAGCCTTTTTCTCTCCTACTGATGAAGTGATAATATTGGGTCTTGTGGTTGCCCTGCAAAGCCTATGGCCTGTTATCACCTTCTCAGCTGCAAAGGCACATGGCAGCAGTGTGGTGCAGTAGCTGTGTGGTGATTGGGCTGTGCAGGACAGCTGGTGGGAGGTGATGCTGCACTTGAGTTCCTCCTGTGCAAAACCCCACCACCCCTGGCACAGGGCTCCACACTGGCTGTTGTTCATGGAGGAACTGGGTAATGTGTGAAAGGCAGATGCTCGGGGGTGTGCAGAGATGGGACAAACTGAGGAGAGAGTAACAGCGTAAACAGTGCAGGCAGCAGCTGTGGAGGCTGCTCTGTAGCTCGAGCTGGGCTGTGCCATGTCCCATTACAACCATGGAAGGTGAGGAGAGGAGGGAGGGGTGTCTGCATGCCAGGCTCAGCACCACCCAAACACCTCTATCTCGTGGCAGAATCTCTCTCACCAGTGGTGGCCTGGTGGTGATTACATTTCGGCAATCCTGGTATTGGTGTTCTGTTTTAAAGCTCTGATTGCTCTTCAGCG